GAATGCCTGTCTCCCTTCTCTTTTGATTTAGGTGCTAACCATCTTTTCTGCCTCCAACTACTATGAAGTTGGCAGTAACAAAGGAGCCTATGTCAAACTGGGTCCAGCCCTGACCCCACACATCGTGCAGTATCAAGCTAACAAGGCCACCCACATGCTAACCATGAGGCAAAGGCAAGACTTGTCAATGAATGATTTTCAGAAAAACAGAATTATAGTGTTTATAGAACCTTTGAAGTATCAAATGTTATATGTTTATCCAAATTCTAAGTGAGATTTCAGAATGTAGCTCTGTTAGCAGTAAGGTATAGAATAGACACTACAGCAGGGGTCTCTTCCTTCGCCAGACACTCTAAAATCTCTACCTACCCATCAATAATGGAAGCAACAAATTTGCTTTCTGCAGAAATTATTCTCAATGGGTGCATCTTAGGTAAAGTCCATAGACCAGGCCACCAAGTCTTTCCAGGGTCACTCTTCTGTTCTCTCTCATCCTTAAAGAGTTTGTGCTACCCTGTGAACCCCAGCCAAAGGTTTTTTCACTATCTGGGGATTTGGTCGATAGATTTCCGAGCACACATTTGTTAACAATGCGCCTTCCCTCCTGGGAGGAAAATATATATTACTTAAATGGTTTCTGTTGAGACAATCCTGAGTTCTAATCTTAGTTGAAAGCATACCACACACTAAGTGTTATTATAAAGTTTATATTATAAAGTTCATCTTACGATGAACTAATGAAATACATTGTGTAACTATTTTCAGTTTTATAGGAACAGAGGTTAAGTCAGCTGGTCCATGGTCACACAACTAGTAAGTGGTGAAAGTTGGCCTTGACCCAGGCAGTGTTATTTCAGAACTCGCACACTTAACAACTATGCAATACTGCCTCCCACCGAGAAGATAGCTCCAGAATATATAAGCTGCTACAGATATCGTTTTAGTGGTACTAAATAAGCTTTTTAAATTATCAGGGGAACTAAATTAGAAATCAAAACAAAATCAGCATAAATCTCATGGAAAGAACACATTAATATTTAGCATCTGCCTTGTGTGAATGCTATAAAAGTGCATTATTTTAAATCACTCTTGAGTTATTGAATGCTCAGGTTATTAAAAAATCAAGGCCAACATTACTTTAAAAGTAATATTATGTGAAAATTTAAACTCACCGTGTGATAGTCAAACCTACTATGCAGCATAACCATCTGTGGAGCTTTATAAAAAAATTAGCTATCTGAGTGTCCTCATGGCCCTACCAAATTAGGGTCTTCAGGGGAGGGGGAGGCAGGCACCTGAAATGCCATTTCATATGATTTTTGGTGTCACTACAAAAGAAGTCACTGTAGGGAATCCTGTAATATGTGTTTTAATAACACAATTAAAGATCACTCCACTTTTTGAAATATTCGTTGATTGCATCAAAGCAAGTACAACATCTCCTAATTTACCCAGAAGTCACTTGTCTGACAACTTTAACTATCTGGACCACAATGGAGAATTTAGAAGGAAGGGAGGGAAATGTCAACCACAATTGATATCCATAAACTCATGTGTTTTTCTTAGAGGAACCCTCATTCAGAATCCATTTACTTTTGGTATAAATCCACATCTCACAATAA